AAATCTGCACTGATTTATTGCAACGAATCGTCACTCTCCACGAAAATTCTCCGTCATTTGCCGGAAACTCCGAAGTCGTTTAGAACGAGAAAGAATCGGTCTCTATCCGATTTTTCAAAGTCGATACTTTATTGTCAGAGGTAGAGGTTCGCCTCGGCCTTTGGTAACTGTACACGTCCCCTTCTCATTTTTCCAACAACCTCTCCTTCTTTAACCAGCCTCGATTCCTCTCTTTCCTTCTTTCGTGGCCTTCTTCTCGTCATCCTGTTTGCACGATCTTTGCTCCAGTCGCGAATCCTTGCTCTATAGTTCAAGATGTGAGAAATTATCGAATTGGAGTGGTATCTCTAGTGAATCTGGAGAATTTGATGATTTTAACGCGAACTTGGTTGGCATGAAAGTTTTCCGAGTTTGCGTATCATGCAATTAGTTTGAATTTTTAATCGTTTTTCGATTAAATTCTTTTTTATTTGGAGGAGAAAGAACGAAAAAATTGATAGAGAGAAACGTTGTATCTCTAAATTTTTTTTCACACATATATATTTATATTTATTTTACACATATATAAATATTTATACTATAATTCTTCTTTTCTTGTGAAATTCCCTCTGCAAAAATTTTATAAAACGTACTCATTTTTTTATTTGTTTTAATATAAATATATTTGGACAATATACACAAATAAAATTTTAGAATTAATTAGAATGTAGATATCACTCCATCTTCAACCGATTTACATAATACATACTTCGAGTTTCTCAAAAACCATATTAATGAATTTCATTAATTAAAAGGTAAAAATGCCTTGAAATTTACGATTATTTACATGCCTATTATCTACTTGTGGTAAAGAGAACAAGAACAAATCTTTGCTTATCTTTTGAAGTGCTGGATTAGAGCTCAGTAATTAATCTAATTACATACTCGGATAACAAGATTCAAAAATTCCCAAGCCTAAAATTATACGTAAAATCTACGTATAATCCAATAATACGAAAAGCAAGTACCGAATGGAAGAGGTCGCGAGTCATCTCGCTCATATCCCATCGCGAACATCCTCCTTCACTGGACTATGGCGTCCCTCTCACTTTCTCGCGTTCTCCGTCGCTGGAGTTCGCGCGATCTCCGCGAGTCCTCTTTTTCCGTGTCCTTTCGAGCTCCCACCACCACCATCGTTGCCAGTCACGTAGGGCAAAGAAACACGGAGAGAAAAAAGGAGGCTGCAGGGTGGCCCAAGCGGCATTTCAACGTGCTCGCTCCCCTATAGCCTATGCTCGTTGCGTGTTCGCCTCCGTGTATCCTGGACAGGACCTTTTGAACCAGCTCGATGAGAAAGCCGCGAGACGGAACGAGGCGGGCGCGATCTCGTTCGACGCCGCCGCGCGCGGTCACGCTTGTCGCGTGCGCACGTGTGCGGTTTCCAACACGTGCACGATATACACTGCGTACGTGTAACTCGTACGTTGCATCCAGTTGCATCGAGCTGATTCCTTCTTCCTGAATAGCGTACGCGTAACGATGACGCACAGGATACGATTGAAGATTGTTCTCCTCAATACGAATCGGAGGATCGAGAGATACGAAATGCTTCAATTAGAAAATACTGTCGTGATTAGTCTCTAAGTTTGAAGATCCACAAATGTTATAGAGATGTTATAGAGACTTTTAATGTGTCTCAGAGTTTTTCCGACTAGAGCTTAACGTTAATGCAGCATTGGAAATCTCCATTCGATGTAAGCACACCTGAAACACTCTGTGAGGAATCTTACATATGGTTGTGTTAAATTTTAGATTATTTTTCATCGTTTATTTTTTTCTAATTTTCTTCAATATCGTGTAATTTAAATGTTTTTTTTTTCCTCTTGTTAAATTGGAATATTTCGTTTGATTTGTTCAATCTGATTTAAAGGATGGTTATACGAAAAGATTTTTTTCAAGAATTACTCGTACATTCATAAAAAATTTAGATACGCAAAAATATCTAGAATAAAATACGTTTTCAAAATATCCAATGTACATTCAAAAAAATCTCCATTTATTTGCACAAACAGCCGCGTTCATAAACATAATTATTCAATTTAAAACTATATCAGAACTTCAACTCCGAAACTAGAAGTTTTCTAGAAACTTTTCTAGAATTATTCATATAAACGAGTTAAATCCTCTTATAATTAACAGAAATTCTTCTTCATCAAAAATATTACTTCTCTAACGTATAAAATCTGCAAGTCTAAAATCCTATTTCCGGTACAAATCTAAAATTTTAACATAAAACTACAAAATCACCTAAGTACACGGTACAACGTTCTCCCTATTTACACACCTTGAAGAACGCTGAGGAAGAAAAAATGACGTTCGCGTTATCTCGAGGCAATTACACTTCGCTTCCACTTCGCTTATCATTTTCTCTCGCTGTCTCGCGAGACAAGCGTTCATGCGTGGCTCATTATCTCTGAGGTTGAGATCTTCCAGGAACGCATGTCTTCCTTGTTTTACCGGTCTTGCCCTTATCGACAATCGGAAGGGAGTACGCAGCGAGACGTTGCCGGCGAAACAACTCGGATAAACGGCTCGCACGGAATTGTCGGTTACGCGGTTATTATCGAGACGATGCACGCATCGTCATCCCTCTCAGAACGCGTAGAAACCTCTACGTGGAAGCACGCGGCTAGTCAGGTTTCCGTAACTGTGTCGTCCTTCGCTTCCGGTGAGATGCTTCGCTGCTTCCAGGTTTGCAACTCGCGTGCACGGATGTGGCGAGCACATTCAGCAAAGTACGCACGTAGTAGACGAAAAAGTTGTAAGAAGTTGCAAGATGAGGATATATATATATATATATATATATATATATATATATATATATAT